CTTCGGCCCGTTTTGCCACGCCTGGCCCGTCTTGGGATTGAGCTGGCCTACAAAGTGCAGACGCGCTATCACCTGGATGCGATTGTGTTCACGGCAGCACTGCCTGAGTACGATGCCATCACAGTGGCCACACATATGCACGCAATATACTCACAGACCTGCGACCCGGCAGGTCGTCAGCACACCATCGAGGTGCTGGGACTGAACAATAACCTAAAGATTTGCATGGACCTCATTAAAAAGGAACAGCGGCTGCAAGCGCAGCGACAGCTGAGCTCGCCAGGCACCAAATACAAGAGTCCAGTGCTCAGCTATGCGGTGGACATGGTGGATTGCTGTGTGCGCTACTGTGAACAGCTCGACTACCTGATCGAGCATGGCGCTGTCATACTGGAGCTGGCCAAGAACCACGAGACCTTTGAGCCGTCTGTGTCGGCCGTGCTGCAGGAGATGTATGTGTATATGAAGCCATTGGAGGCCATTAATGTGTTCATCTACGATGACATCATGCCCCTAGTTGAAGTCATTGGTCGATCTCTTGACTATCTTACCACTTTCCCTGGGGATCTGATTATGGCCTTGAGAATACTGCGTTATCTGGTCACCACGAAGTCGACACCGCCGCCCGGCGTCAAGCAGTCCAAACGGCCGGACACCGAGGAGTTGAAACATCGCTTTGTGGCCCTCCAGCTGTACGCTGCGGATGGCGTACAGCTAATGATTCAGATAATGGAACGGCTGTGCACGTACTTTGAGCAGCCCGGCATGCATGCACCCGCTTTGATGACCATTCAGGGCGTGCACTGCTGCCAGATTATGTTGCCCACGCTGCAAATTCTACGCGAACTGCTCTCCTATGCCATACTGTGCCGCGATGGCGCCTTCAAAGACCTGACCTCGATCGATCATCTGGTTAAGGTATACTTCCTGTTGTACTATTATCCCACGCGCTGCCAGGCGGGTGCTGAGGTGGAGCAGTGCAAGCTGGAGGTGGTACAAACACTGTTGGCCTATACGCAGCCGCACGAGCAAGACGAGGAGTCGTTGCATAAGTCCCTCTGGACGCAAATGATACGCGAGGTGCTGAAGAACATTGATGGGCCGGCCAACTTTATACCGGGCCTGAAGCTACTGGCGGAATTGTTGCCACTGCCATTGCCCATGCCACAGCCACTGAGCGATCAGCTGAAGCAGCAGCACAAGCAGCGTTTGATCACTGAACGCAAGCTGTGGTCCGCTCACTTGCATCCGCAGAGCGGTCAAATTGCCAAGCTGGTGGAAGCGCTGGCGCCTTCAAGTTTCCCGCAGCTGTCCGAAATGCTGCAGCGCGTCTGTATGCAGCTATCAGATCTGGCACCCAACATGACGCTCCTCATAGCCAAGACCATAATGGAACTGCTGTGCAATGAATACCAGAGCTCCAATTGCATGCCGACCACGAATCTGGAGCGCCTGCTACGTTTCTCCACGCGGCTCTGTGCCTTTGCGCCCCTTAAGAGCTCCATGCTGTCTATATTGTCGGGAAAGTTTTGGGAGCTCTTCCAGTCGCTGCTGTCGTTGAACGAGTTCAACGAGGTGGTCTCCAATTGCCAGGAGGCAGTGCATCGCATACTCGACAGTTTCCTAGACTCTGGTATCTCCTTAATTTCACATAAATCCACAGCGCACCCAGCGCTCAATTTGTCGGCTGCACTGCCACCCAAGGAACTAATCCCACGCGTCATCGATGCTGTGTTCAGTAATCTGGCCAGCGTGGAGGTCACTCATGGAATTTCCATTTTGGCTGTGCGTAATCTGGTCATTCTGACCGAGCACGAGTAAGTATCAAGCATAGATCTCTTAGTAAACTTGAACTTAATCTTGTTTTCTCTTTGTACAGTTACACTTTCTACCACCTGGCGCAGTTGTTGAAGCAGAAGATTAGCGAGTTCCAGGCGTGGATGGAACGTGTTATACTCCACAATGAGACGGTTGAGTATAATGCAAACATAGAGTCGTTAATTCTGTTGCTGCGCTCCCTGACTCAAATTGAGCCAGCTCCAGCAATGTCTGCCATGCCTAGCCGAACGCTTAAGCTGGGTCCATCTGAGCTAGCGCAGCTGCTTGAGTTTCAGGACGTGGAGCTGGACAAGCCGCCGGTCTTGCAGCGCATACTTAAAGTGCTCGAGAAGCACAAGGCCGTGGCCAATGAGGCGGCTCTGTGTGATTTGAAGCAACTTATTGCCCTGCAGGCATCCAAGCAGGAGCAGGAGACGCAGCCAACAACGGCTGCCTCAGTAGAAACGCCAAATGAAGCCGACGCAAATGCAACAAGTGGCAGCAACGTCAGCACAGGACCGCTCAACGTTGAGCCATATCTGCCACAAGCTGAGGGCATTGTCACGCAGTACGAGGCACGTCCCATATTTACACGCTTTTGTGCGACGGCTGAGAATGTCCAGCTGACTGCGCGCTACTGGCTGGAGCCGCTGCCAATTGAGGTCATTGAAGATATGGACGAGCCGCTGTACGAGCGTATTGCCTGTGACTTGACTGATTTGGCCAACGTGTGCCTAAATCCCGATCTGAATCTCACGGGCGATTGCAAGCGTGTGCTGCATTTATCTGGCTCACCGCAATCCAATCGCGAGATGACACCCACAGCGCCATGCTTCCGCACTCGACGTGTCGAGGTGGAACCTGCCACGGGCCGGCCAGAAAAAAAGATGTTCGTAAGTGCGGTGCGAGGACGCGGCTTTGCACGGGCACCACCTTCCCGTGGGGACTTATTCCGCTCCAGACCGCCAAACACATCGCGACCACCATCGCTGCACGTGGATGATTTCCTGGCGCTGGAGACGTGCGGTGCACAGCCCACCGGGCCAACGGGCTACAATAAAATACCTTCAATGTTGCGCGGTTCGCGCGTAGGTCGTAATCGGGGCTCACGCATATCAGCAGCAGCTGCCTACAGGTAACGAGCTTTACGCTTTGTAAATATAGCATCTTTATCAGTTTTGTTTTCTCCTCTCGCTTTCAGGCAGAAGAAGCTCTTACGCATCGGGTCGCCCTCGAATTGGTCCGAGACGACGGGCACGCCGTATCGTTCGGGCGCTGCTGAAGGGCATTTCAGCAGCGGCGATTCGCACTACACTTCGCCCCACTACAGCGGACGACCACGTGGGCGTGGCCTGCGCTCCAGACCGCCCTATTTGCGCTAGGAACGGCGCCAATGCTTGCATATATCAAAAGTGTTTTCTGTATATTTGATTTATACAATTTGTATGTAAAGTAATTAAACTTAAGCATTCTCTGTAATCACACAATTCAGGCGCACATCGTGATCCTCCATGGGCAGCTCCTCGTTGCTGACGATCTGCTCATTGAGGGCCAGTGCCATAATGGTTGTCTTCTTGTGCGGATACTTTTCCGCATGCTGCTTCAGATATTTGTCATAGTAGCCCATGCCGTGGCCCATGCGATCGCCGCTGCGCGTGAATGCGACGCCGGGCACGATGAACAGATCAATGCCATGTCCTGCAGGAGAGATTGAGTATGGTACGCACAGGGATATCATACGGTCATTGTTTACCATTTGTCATGGCATCCTCGCGGCTATCCTTGAAGTCGGGCTGTTTGATATTCCATTTGGTCAGCGGCAATCCCTCGTACTCGTTCATATCGCGCAAACGCACCATTTTCATCTTTGTGCCCTGGTAGGTGGGCACAAACACCATCTTCTCCAGCCTAAACATCTCGCGGATTATCGCAGTGGTGTCCAGCTCATTGCTGGTGCTCAGATAGATGCTAACGCGCTGAGCCTGACGAAATGCCTCATTTCTCAGCACCTGCCGAGAACAGATGTTCGTAAGTATAATCGGCGATCTAGATCTGACCTAAGCGCACTGACTCTCTCGGTCACTGCCTCCGATTGCCTTGCTATAATCTCGGGCGTTAAACAGCTGAGGACCTCCTTCATGCGCTTCCTCAGGGCTACCTTAAGGCTATTTTGGATGGCTGCCATGGCGAAGCACAGTGCACACACTCTATGGACCGGAGAACGACTGATTTCAGCTTGCACTCATGCAGCCCCTATAGGGCAGCTCTGTGGATTAGTCGGTTATCAGTAAAACTGCGCATTATCAGCTTTTACCGACCACATGCTCTTCCTCCACCGATTCGTAAACAAGCAACAGGTCGGTTTGCATACATTAATTGATAAGGCAATTACAAAGCCAGAGACTCGCAGTGTTTATATAATTATTTACTTACATATTTCTATATTTATACAAAAGTTCGCCTTGTCGTGCATTCACTGTAGCCCAATTGGCGTGCGCCCCCTTTTCAAACCAGCGATTGACACCTTATATTTAGCACTAAAAATGCCAGCAGCTGCGGCTATCAGTGCTGTCGGCGACGCCGGGCACTCGTCGAATTTGGCTTTTTTCTCAATAATTTAGCCGCCAAATTTAAAACGAGCTAACGGACTGAATTGTTAAATTAAATTAATTTATTCGAATGAGTGAAAAGTTAATTTAATTATTTTCAATTGCATATATAAATGAATAATTATTTAATATATATTTTGTTATGATGCTGTCCAAATTTATTGAGAGATATGCCAATAACTTGACAAATTATTATATATACATACATATACATATACACTGAATGGAATTCTCTATGTACTCAATCGAATGACAAACATGCCAAAGTTACACAATCATATTGTATTATATTGTATGGTAGATTATCAGTTCTTCACATTGTTCATCAAGTAGTAAACGGTTATTTGGTACAACTCTTTTGTCTTGCAACAATCCAAACATCATCCTCCAACACCTCCATATTTCACATCGGTGCGTTCTGCTCGAATTGGATTATTCAACTCATTTAGAGAGATAGAGAGAGAAAGAGAGTGATATATTATCTCGTACTTTTATAAATTTCTGATTAAGACTTATACGTTAAGTTCAAACTGATTGCTAAAATTACACCATTACACATTACACTTTACGCTAATCGCTGTAGTTATTTGTGTTGAAGTAAGGAGCCATTTATTGATAACAAACATACAAATATACTTATTTACTGTTCTTCATTACACATTTATCACATTAGCTTATAATCTATTCGAAGTGATTAATTGATGCGCTCACAACAGTTTCTCGATAGTTGCCTGCTCATTGTACTTGCTGTAAGTTGTGAAGTCATCCATGTTCAATTTATACTCCCTCAGGTTGCCATCGGACCAAAGATCAAATTCGCGTATCACGTCCGCTGTCATTTCATCCTTGTGGCTGCCCACCACGCCCCGCCGCACAAACCTGTGTGGAGCAACGCTATTTAGCCTTATGTAAGCAGATCTAAACAGAGATCAGTGCAAGACTGGCTCACCTGAACTCCTCCACTTCGCGGCCAGCTGCTGCCTTCATGCTCTCGAATTCCTTGGCGTGGTTGCAGGCGGGATTGTCGCGCATGCTCTCGAAGGAGAGGTGCTGCTTCATCTGCTGCACCTGCTCAACGCTCACTGGGCGTTGCAGGAATCGGGCCACATCGTTGATTACCTGATCGAGCTGGGTCTTCATGCGCTCGTAGCTGGTGAAGAAGATGTACGGCTCGTGGCGCAACTGCCAGAAGTCGAGCACGTGCGGCCAGCAGGGCGTGAAGTTCACATAGCCATCGATGAAGGAGTGCATGAAATCGTCCTTGGTGCCCTGATAGCCGACCATGCCACGCCAGTGATGGAAGTACGAGACGGCTGCGTCTTTGGGATTCCGATAGACGTAGATGATCTTCGGCTTTTTGGTCCAGACCTGGCGTGGCAGTAGCCAGGCGGGCAGATGGGATTTGATGAGGCGTGGCGAGCTTAGCGCATTGGCTGCCTCGATGGTGTCGTGGGGCACGTTCGGCACAACGCCATTGAATCTATATTGACCAGAGGCTTAGCTAGCTTCTCATTAGTCGAGTGATCAACTTACTCCAAAAATGGGGAGCGTATGGTCAGGTCCACGGACTTGGCCGTCTCAAAGTCGCACTGATTGAGCACCAGCCAAGCCAGCTCCTGCATCCAGGTGGTGCCGCACTTGGGCAGCGTGACGATCCACACATCATCCTCACGCACCTCGAAGTCGTGCACGCGATCCAGCACGGGCTGGAAGGTGTCGGCCAGACGGCAGAAGCGCTGCTCCCAGTTGCCCACCACGGGCACGTTCGGCTCACGGGTGGCATAGATCGAGGAGTAGCCGCCGCTGATGGCCAGCTTGTCGATCTGCTCGAAGGGCACGCTTCGCGCAAAGAAACTCGACTCGGGCATAACGGCACTATGTTTGACTGATAAATCACGAATTTTCCAAATTACTTAAAGACGCGCCCAACCGATCGCCTTCACAGTTTCCGCTGCATTAAATGCTACTGCCATCTCGTCGGGAATATCGAGGCAGAATTTCTCGCCCTACGCTGAGTGCCAGAGATGCGCACGTGATGTGAAGTGAAGAGCAGTGATGGGTGATGTGACTTGATAACTCAGCTCAGTTCATATAGATTTACTCTTTTGGCAATCAGCTTGCTACGATCACAGTCACAGTCAGCACAAGGCCTGGCTAGCATCACTATCATCATTAGAACTGTCTATATAATGATCATAAATATATTCATACAAGCCATAACATTAATCACATTAATCAATAATGAACGTGAAGCGCGCGCGCCGTCCTTGCCTGAGCCGCATCACTAATGGAGCCGCAATCATCGCATACACACATCTATAAGTGTATGCGTGTTATATAACATGCAACAGACTCTCGTTTTTTTGTGATCTTCGGTTCGATTTTCGAAATACATGAAATGATCGGGTGCTGTAAGACTTTCTTTATGGAGGGCTTATGTTATGGGACCATGAAGCTCTTGTCGAAACCAGTCGCAAAAGAAAGTTTCGGAGTATTTCGGCTACCAATTCATTTTGTCAACAGTTCGTTTTGTTTGCTTGTTTACCTAGTGTCTTAGCAGGTGAAATTATGCGCACGTCTTCGGTCACTTAGCCATTTAGCCCAAAGAATCGAAAACAGGTCGTTTGAATGCGGATCAGATGTACTGATTGACGCAGCTGTAAGCCAATTTGAAGAAGTGAGAGTGATCTAATCTAAAAGTTGAGGACTGGGAGATACTCTGGGCATGATACAAATTCTTTATGGGTGCACCTAGCAGGGCATATTTTATTATTAAGTTATTTCTAATTCCATTTGAAGACAGAATTCTGATCTATATAAAAATGGAGTTTCATTTGAAGCAGAATTGTATCTAAATGGGTTCATCTCATTTCATAAGAAGTCAGAAAACCTATTTAAATTGAAAATAGACAAATAAAATGCAATAAAAATATAAGTTAATATAATATTCAAAAATAAAAAGCTTCAGATTTCAGCTCTCGTCTTCAATGTATTCCTATAGATAGAATAGCACAATCAATTACGACTATTCAGCTCAACCCTTATTATATATCCTGTCCCACGCCTACTTCCGTTTTACATGCGGTTGCACAAGTCCATCATACCTCTCCAAACTATATTCATAGCATTCCAGGCGTAATAACAAATGACAGCAAATCGATATATGAATATTTTGAATATTCTCGCTCTCAACATTGAAAACTCAAACTTGTTTGCATGCTCGACCTTGCCAAAGGCCCAAATGTAAATTTAACTTATTTTTAACTTCTGTTTTTACCTCTTTTTTTGTTTGCCATAATTTGAAAATCGAAGGTCAGTTGATTTTTGTTTTCACTTTGAATTTGTATTTATGTATTTGCGTTTTTTTATTCGCCTTTTGTTTTGTTTTTACAATAAATTTGACTAAATCTTAACATTTATAATCCTTAACCTGCAAGGAGCAAACAGATGTAGTAACAAATATATGTATGTCAGTATGTATGTAGTTGTATAAAGATTCTGCTTGTTGGGGTAAACAAACAGGATCGAAGAATTGTTTAGTAATATGTAGAAATTTGCATGCATTTGTTTAAAGAGCTCGTATTTAAAAATAATTGTTTCTTTTTCGCTTTGATTTTGTTGTTGTTGTTGTAAATACTTATTAAGAAGTGTGCGTGGCTGCTAACATCGAAAAGCACGCACACACTTGCACACATACACACACACATATTAACAACAATAAATACATATGTATGCATGTAACTCGTATATATATATATTTTTTTTTTCTTTTTTTTTTGTATTTGCATTCAATTAAAACGGAGTGCGTGGGTGTGTGTATGCATGTATTTATTTTTTATGAGTGTGTGCAATTCGGATTGGGCTTGGGAAACTGAAGATCGCTCGATCGATCCGGTTTCTTGTCTGTATAAACTGTATCAAAAATGTAATCGTGAAATAAATGTCTATAACAGATACAAATAACAGTGTGACTGGATGACATACCCAAACACGCACACACACACACACGCACGCACGCATTCGCATACATACATACATATATAATAATATATAAATATATCCTTTGAATATGCTTATCCTTCGTAAAAGTTGTATAAATTGTATATATGTATATATATGTACGAATATATACTTATTATTTTGCATTTGCTTTGATTCATAGGTATGTAAACATCTATGTATATATATAACATGTATATATATAATATTTTTGCTCTTTTATTTTGTTTTTGGTTTGTAATTTTTTTGTTTTTGTTTTTCAATATTTTTTTTTTCAACAAGATCGTATTATCGATTCGTATTAATTTACTTGTTATATATATATATATATAATATGTAATTTGTTCAGTCAATTAGATAAAAAAGATTTCAAAAAGGATTTCACTTATATAAATTTCATTTGCATTTCGCTTAATTCTGCAACACATCAACAGTATTCAGTAATCATATATAATATTAGGTATTAGATAGCAGTAGGTAGTTGTAGTAGTAGTAGTAGTTGTAGTAGTAGTTGTAATAGTAATTGTAGAAAGGGCCCCATAGAGTTACGCACGTTACATATGTGGATTCGAATTGTTGTTGTTGTTGTTTTTTTTTGTTGCTTGTTGTAATCAAACTAGTCGAGTTGTACATTAGTAGAAATAGTTATAGTTGTTATTCTAGCCAATAGTTCGTTTGCTCTGCTCATTATATAAATTGTCCCTGCTAATCCATCCACGCATACACACCCAAACAATCACACACACACACATACACTCACTCAATCACTCACACTCACACTCACTCAACGCGAATCCTTTGTCATCTAGCTATGGCCTTTGCAAAATCTATCTTAATTTATAAGTAGTTGGACAGTTGTTGTATTTAACAGAGATTGTCTTCGTGTGTGAGGGCAGATGAAGGTGGGAGAGGAGAAACACAAACACGTACACGTACACGACTTATGTACTAGTATGTGTGCCATGTTGCTTATGCGGTGTGTGTGTGTTTCTTTAATTTATTTTATTTTTATAAATTTTAATTTATTTTTATTATTGATTTATTATTAATTTTTTTTTTTATACCATTTTAGGTACTGTAGAGCGCACGCCACATTGCTCGCACCATGACAATATGTGACTATGTTTAACTATTTGTTGTTGTATTAGTATTTATTTGTATATACTTTGACACGCAGACATACACACACACGCACGCTCACACACATTTAATAGGGCACACAGATATACACATATACATAAACAATTTTCTTTTGTTTTCTTTTTTGTTTTTTTTTTTTTTCATTTTGTGATGTTACTTAAATATTACATTTTGAGTCCAGCCCAATAATTTGTTTTTTTTTTTGTTTTTAGTTAGTTTTTTGTTTTCTTTGTTTTGTTTAGTTTTGCTCTTCAAACATTTGCGACAGTTTTTGTGTGCTTGTGTGTGTGAGTGGGTGGGTGGGTGTGTGTGTGCGCGTCTTCTTGCCTCCCATTCATGGAGACTCAGCTGTCACTGCGTATTAAGATATACGCCACACACACAAACACAACCACACACCCACGCACACACACACACACACGTCCCATACAGAGCACAGTTTTGGAAGCGTTATTTAGTCGAGATATGTATGCATAGCAGCGACAACAACAAGTAGAACGAGACCTATGCCGAGAGACAGCGACGCAAGCCACGGCCCTGGGTCCGGATGCGCCTGCACTAGAGCATATCCTCCATCTCGTTCTCGCCAATTGTGGATGTGGCAGGCGCCTGGGCCGGCAGCGGCTTCAGTAGACCCGAGAATAATCTCCGGAAAGCCGTATGCTATTTGGAGCTAGACGACTTGTTGCCCACCGGCGGCTGCTTGGCCATAATATCGGCGAGCGTATTGATGCCCTGCTCATCATATTTCTTCCACTGTGAGTAGTTGATCTGCATGCACGTGATCAGCTCGGGCATATCAATAAAACCTGCAATCAAATCGAACTTCAATTACTTCCATGCTCAATTCTCGCTTGATGGTTTCACGTACCGTCCCAGGCGTGCATCATATCCTGTATAATGTATTCGATAAAACCAATCTGGCTCTTTGGTATGCTGCAGGTGGCCCGATCGAACATGGGCATCACTATGGGCAGGTGCCGCTGCTTCTCCTCGTCCGTCTGCATAAAGTACTCCTCGGCAATGCGGCGCGCCCACTCGATGCAGTACTGCATGGGGCGGGCCGGATTGCTCACATCGGCCACCTTGATGAGCATGCGGCGCATGAGTATGGATGTCTCCTCCTCGGACTGCACAAGCTACATGGGATTAAATGGTGATCTAAGTGGATATTCAATACCACCAGAGCATGGCTGATTCAGCTTACCTCGCGCGGCTCCACCTCGCTGCCAAAGACGCTCACAAACTTGGCCAAATGCTCAAAGTGACGCGTCATCTCCGTGGCCAGAATCATATCGATGATTGTGCTGCGCGCCGATTTGTACGTTTCCTTGTCCAGGTTTTTGAATATGTTGAACTTGTCATCGCCTGCAGGAGAATCAGAAGTTAGCATAAGGATCTCAGCTTGATTTCGCTGCCTTCACTTACCCAGGGTCAGCTTGAAAGTGATGGCAGCATGGTGGGACTCCAGCACCGTCAGGTCATTATACAATATGGCCAGTGGATTGTTCGAGTTGCACAGAAAGGCCGAGGAGCGCCCCGGATGATCGACGTCATGAGCAGCGGCTGCAATCAGAGCCGTTGCCTCGTCCATGCGATCCATGACCATATCCTTGCTGGCCAGCTGTGTGATGAAGGCGCCCGTTGCCTACCGATTGAGAAGAGAGTGTGATTTTATAGAACTACTGTGAGGAGAGGAGAGAGAGCGAGAGAGAGAGGGAGAGACGAACCTGCATAACATCCGCTGCATGTGTGCTATTGTGATATGTGTTGCTCTTGTGGTAGTGCGCCTCGATGACGGCCAGCCAAGCCTTGCAGACGTTCTCATCG